TCGTGAGACCTACCGCATTGAAACGCAATAAACTAGGACTTGGGCTCTTGGCTCTGCCGAGTGACAGAAGCATTATTTGGGAAGGTTTAATATTTAAAAAGGATCTCGTAGATCAAGCTTGGCCAAAGAGAACTATATCAACTCATACAAGATCTTCTCTCGCAATTTTAATTCGACATGGACACTTATAAATAAATGAAATTGTTACAAAATGTAGATGAAATTTCAAAGTGAAGGGGAACGAACGGTTAATATTTAACAGAAAGAAAAGTTATCCATACAGGAACTTGTAATTCAGTGCTAGAAAAGGAGAGAAACGCAACGCCCGTTTCGTGCATTAATACCGGACTCTTAATTTATTAGCCGCATAAAATAAGTCAGATCAATACGAGGCGCGAAATCTACGCGGGAAATATACGAGATCGTATCGCGCGGCTCGCAAAACGAGAATTCGCGTGAGCCAACCGTTCGTAGGGTGATAGAGGGGGAGAAAGAGAGAGAGTGAGAGAGTGCGAGAGAGAGGAGCGGTTCTGCACAACCGATATCGACCTTTAACGTCGCCTTATCTGTTTCTACGATTTAGACTGCGACCTAACGATTCAACTCCTTCGAGGCCCACATGGTACGTGTTTAACGTCATTATCGAGTCGCTGTTGAATACGCAGGATCGCGATAACTACCGAAGGAAATGAAGATCGCGATATAGTCCGACTATAGCGAAGGAGGTAATCGTTGCAAACGATGAAAAGACAAATGACAAATAATCGGTGCAAAGTAAGTAGAAATTAAATCAGTTCTTCATTTGAATTCTTCCAAACAACGTGAAGTTCAACGTGACCGCGATACCATGCAGAAAATATCAGCATTCATTCAAGTTATATTCTGCGAAAGCAAAATTCTGAACTAAACTGCCAAGCTTGCGATGCTACCGAATTACACAAAGACGAAAGGATAGAGAAGAAAAGGGAAGAGAAAATTATATTTGACAGTAGCTGGAGTCAAGAAATAACACGCAACACGCAGGGAGCCGTTCTCGCGTGATTTCTATGCAGATGCGACGAGCAGAAAGCACGCGCTGCTGTGTTGGCCGCAGGAAAGAAAGGATGGTTGGATGCGAGAAAGGAAACGAGTATAAGAGATGGAAACGCAAACGGTCTCGCACTTCAGACAAACGAAGACCTTTGGTAGAGGGGCTTAAAGGAGATAGCCGGTAAAGATCGTGACACAGGACAAGCGAATAATGTATAGCAGTGGTGGCGCTATCCGCCTGCACCATCTCCGGTCTTCGTGGCGCTTTCGCCTCTCGTGCGACAATCTTTTCTCACTTTGCGAAGAAGCCATCCCTCAACTTATGGAAATTTTCTTTACGCCTTGGCCCGAAACTTTCGAACTGCTGCCGCTGTTGCTGATGTTGCGACGGCTAACGACGATGTTGCTCGACCTGCTACACACGACTAACCGACCAAACCGTATACGTATTCTATATCAAAACACGGAGATAGACGAAGTCGACGCAAGGCGAAGACGAGGCCGATGTGGTAGTTCTTTTCCTTCGCGATCTCTCATTTCTTGTGCTGCTAGAGGGCTTAGGCGTGACGTAACAGGATGTAAGACGCAAATGATACGGAAGACATTTGAAACTATACAACTATCTGGCTCCGCGAAGGATCGAGCACAAAGTGATTTGTCAAAAATATTCGGAGAAGTCGTTTAGAACAACGGTCCAAAAACGCCGAGTCATTTGTAATAGAACCGGCTATTTAGAGAACGTGGCTAATTGTAGGGTACCCGTAGAATAGTTCATGTGAATTTCATCAGCCAATCGTATAAGTAATCGTCACACTACCATCGTTAGCAATTAATTACGAGAGTTTAATTATCGATACATTAATGGCCATCGTTAAAATAGCACGTTGCAGAACTTGTCAAAGTCGTAATGCATTTTAATTATGTACAACCTTTGTCAAATATGTAACTAATTATTTACATACTTGTTTAAAAAACTATCAATAATCCAAATACAATTCGATAGAATATTCTGCTATGCTAAATTAAGACTTATCTTTAGCTTCGAAAAATAACAAAAGCTCGTGAACAATTTCTTACTCGTTAAAATAGAAATGGTTCCTCGATCTGCTAAGCGAGCGAAGTTAGATTTCTCGTTCTTTAAAATCATCGTACTCCTCTGATTTCCTGTAATTTCGGCCAACACGTTTGCATTCGTAGCATTTTCGATGCAAAACGTTGGGAGGAGAGAAAAAGCGGAGCGGGGATAAAGGTGTGAGTGGAAACATATTGCATGAAGAAAAAAGAATTGATATCAACGGGGACCCGGTGTTGCGCGCAACACACTTTGAACAAAGAATAAAAAAACTTTCTCTCCTTTGAATCGTTTGGCTCGAAATTAATGGGACGTTGTGGAAAAAAAGACGAAAGCCTAGAGGGCACTAGCGTTATACACTATCCGGAGAACCGTCAGCGATAAGCGTAATTCCTCAAACTCGAAATTAATGTTTTCGGACGCATTAGAATTCAACCCGATCTCTCTCTTTTTCCGCGGACGTGGCGAATAAAAATCTCATTTCCTTCGTAAAGTAATATATCTCTCTTTTATACGCGTTGCCACATGTATCACGTAACCATCAAGATTACAGCATAAAAACGTACTGCCGGTGTGCTTTTATTTCTCATCATTTCCGTGTCGTATTTTTTATCGTCACCATCGCCATCGTTCTCCATCGGCACAGATACGGCCGAAGATGGTCCCCCGAAGATTTAGAGACATTCAGGATATGGCGGGCGAACGGGAGAAGGACTTTTCCTAACCTAACGGTGGACCTTGAGCAAAGAGTTTCATTCAAACTTTTCTTATTTCCGACTCAGCTCCGCTACACGACAATGCTCTTAAATTCTCTGTCTCCACCGTGGATACAGCCATTATACTTCGGGCTCTTCATAAGAACTATTTAACTGGTCCTGTAGAAATTAGGTCATTCATCATCATCGTCTTTGAACAAACCAAGCGATGTATAAATCGTGTCCACGATGCTCTATTATGAATTTTAGAAAATCTCTTTCAGTTATGGAATATCATTAGGATTTTCTAACGTACTTCAAAATTGTTAAGTATCATACATGATTATATATTACCGAGTAGTTTCCGAAACACTTGTAATTTTACGTTTGAATCGATACCTGTATTTTATCATATTATTGTAGTTTCAAATTCAAAGTATAATTTATTTGATGAACTGGCATAGTCAACAGCATCGCCTGAAAGATACTATTTTAGTCTCGCAACTGTTTATTTGACCTTGGTGTTCGTTTCAAATTTCAAAGCCGAACTGAGGAAAGAACATAGGCGTTTGGCGATCCAGGCACATAAGGAAGACACATCGCGAGCGGTATAATGTTGAATGCGAAATATTCTGTTTTCTTTTATATTTTATATTCTCTTCTAATAAGTATATTTACATTTATGTTGCTGGATAACGATCGCTCTTTTCCTATGGATCCTATCTTATTCTACAGTATTATATTATCATCTTTGTAATTATGATATGCATCATTTCTATACCTTTATTCTATATAACTTCCAAATGTAATTCGCCACATTCGTTAGAATAAAATTATAGGTCGATGCATTATCAGTTTTCAAGAATTTAAAACGAATTGATAAGAGAAACGGAAAAGTTTGTAATTCATCATATCTATTCCGAGTTTTCAAAAATTCTGTCGAAAAGCCGAACCATAGTTGTGTTTTTAAAAGTTTTCTAACCTCGATTACTCCGAAATTTCGTCCTGCCTCTGCTCCGCTGCACAAAGTGAAACTCGAGCATTTTCCACGGTATCAAGATAAACATTCGTGGACACAGTCGTTGCTTAGGAGCAGCTTGATTGTGAAAATTCGAATTGCAAAAAGCCAGGGAATATTGCAGTCGAACTGGGTTCTGACGATATATTGCGTACGCAACCAAAAGCGACATACACGCAAATTAAGCATTCAGCCTAGTGAATAGTAAATTCCCCGGTAACGAACGCTCAAACTCTTGGCGACCAAAGAAAAGTGGATACTATTTCAATTGAAAATTTTAAAGCGGAAAAAGTAAGGATTAAGCATAAAACTAATTTATAACGAATTCTTTCTGTATCTTTTTCTTTCTTTCACCATCTCGTTCGAATAAACGCAATCTCTCTGATCTTAAACAACGTCTGATATTTATACAGTATTAATTTTGTAAAAGAATAAGAATAACTATGCTAGCGAAAAGGAGTATACGAATCGTTGAAGGACGTCAACGGACATAAATATTGAACGAGTAGGCCGATAAAACATTGTGTGACAAGTTGACGAAAGGAGACAAGATCGATCTCTTCCGGCTTTTTATTATCGGATAAAACGGAACAAATTGTAATTCGTACTCACGTTACGTTCGTCATAAGCGATAACGAGCCCCATCCACGAACAAGCACGTTTCCATCCGTCAAGACTGGCGACATCGCCAGCCATCAGGGAAAATTCGATCGAGACTACTCGATCTGCGATCCTGTTGCGATAACTCGAAGTTGGCGATCACCGCGGGGTAGCCATCTTTTTTTTTGGCGCGTAAACATCAGTCGCGCAGCATGCGATCCTATCTACGATGTGGCACGGTCAAAGCACGAGAAGGAGACGATCAGGTAAAGTGCACAAGATAAAAGGAAATACGAAAAAGTAGGATGGGGCCTATCTCGACGAGTCGCGCGTCTTCTATTCCGGAGCAGATCGAGGGGTCATCGTATTCGTAAGTGGACGACCGATCAACGTCGATGTCGTCAAAGAGATTTCTTTGTGAGAATCTCTCGAACTCCTTCTATGGCGTACAAATCTTATCAATCGGAAAGTCGAGTAAAGTTAGACGCAAGTATGCCTAATTCACGATCGTACGTAGAAAAAACAAGGGAAGACAGATAGAGAAGAAATAGATAGAGAATAAAAGATAATAACAGATAAAACTTACCACTCGGCGAATGAAGTGCCTTGAAGTTGCTGCCAGTTTTAATAGTCGGTGAGCTCCTCGGCTGAAGAAGTACAAGTGGCAAAAAAAATCTTAGCGAACTATCTTGGCCGTTAAAAAAAAGGTAGGGTAAAAAGATAACTTCTTCCTTTTTCCACTTTTCGCCCTGTTTACACACTTCCGTCACTCTCACTCACTGAATCACGGTTTAGAGTCCTTCGAGTGTGGTCCAAGTTTTTCACCGTTTATACCCGATGCGACGATCAACGACAACTGCGGCAGCTACGATAACTAACAAGAACACCGCGAACGTTCGTCCCGCAGTTTACACTATGAAATCGTCGACTGGTTCTCTGCTACTGTTTCAAGGAGACCTCCGGTCTTTGTTTGTTTATGCCGCGTATGCGTGTACGTTTCGAAGCAAAACCTCCCTTGGTAAGTACATCCAGACACGATAGTTTTGTATATGTTGTCACGGTTATATTATTTTACTGACGAGGTTTACTGGTTAGGAATATTTGGAAAGTACGATGTGGTCACACGCGATTAACGAAGTGTAAGCCATTTATACAGTATGATTCGACAGTTTTATTCACTACAAGGAATATCGTTATTATCGTTCGATACTTTCCTTCGAAATTAACACGTTGTCGTTCACCGTATGGAACTATGGAGGTTGCAAAGTTTTCACCGCCTCCAATAACTATCATAGGAATATACAACCCGAAACAGCATGCAGGCCAACCGTACGGTACGGCGCTCGCCTGTAAACTGAACACCCGTCGCGACCTGAGGCCGGGACTCGACTGGTTTCTGCTAGGGAATCTCCCCACTCCCCGGCTCTCTTCTCGCGCGACCCTAGGCACACCAACCCCTTGTCCAGCTTTCTCTCTTTCTCTCTGTCCCTCCCTTACTCCTCTCTCACCCTCATACCCCTCGTCGTCCTTTTGCCCTTACTCTCACCCTACCACGCTTCATTTCTTTTTCTCTCTCCATCTATCCTTTTCCTCGCTATTCCACGTTCCAACTGCCTAACGCCGACCCTTCACGTACGACCGAACGACCACCCGTTTCTTCGGTGTATACCCTCACCCTCGTACCTCTTTCTCGATACTTCTTTTTCTCTCTTTTCGCTTTCTTTTTTTCTCCTTCTCTACTGCATCTTTCTTTTCTCGTCCGTCTTGCGTTCTCACTTTTTCCCGACACCGCGTCTTAGGTGCACTCTTTCCAAGGACTTTCCGGATCTCGTTCCCGTCAGCCGCCGCTCTTTCAGAAATATTTCGGCGCTAGTACACGCGCGCATGTACACCCTCGCACCCGATTCGACTCGACCCGACTCGCTTCGACTCCGCTTTTCGAACGAACAGCAAGAAAGTACCCCGGCCAATCCCGTGGCACATGCTCGCCACTTCGAGTCCTTCCATTCTTCTAGAATAAGAAAAAGAAAGGGGGAGTAAGAGAGGGAAAGGGGTTACAGGAAGCGAAGGGTGAGGGAAAGAAAACGATGGGTGGGGAGATCTTTTTATCATACTCGCGAAGGATGGATTTCTCGCTGGCAAGTGCACCGAAGTGTTTTGACCCTTCGTGTTTGGGGCCAGAACGATGGCCCTTTGAAGGATACGATGGCTTACATAGCACGATGCTCGAGATCCAAATACCGAGTAGCTCCTCGAAGACCGTTTCGTTTCATTTAAAACTCGAGCGTGAGAGGGCCGAAATAGTAAACGACGAAAGCTGTCGACGAACTCCGATTAAAAACGTAAAATTTCATGAATCACGAAGACACTTTTTGCTTCCATCGAAACAGTGTTCGCTTTTCGTATGAGTGATACATTTAGAAAGTATAATTAGCGTTTGACAAAACTGTGTTTCAATTTGCGTGACGCGGCTTTAAATCGACGAAATAAAATTCGCCCGATGTGTTATACATTAGCGCCCGTACGTTTTTTTCTTTTTGGTAATATCCTTATATTTTTTTAGTAAAGCGTTAATTAAAGTTTGACACTACGACTAGCAAAATAATTTCATTTGCGATATTTATAATATTTGTGCTTCAAATTTTTACGCGTCCTTAAATTTGGTACGAATATAAAATATTAAACTTCGCATTTTACCGAGTTTCGTATGGTATGGTCAAAGATAAAACGATCTCTACATGTACAAACGGAAAAATACGCGCAGGGAAAGGGGGGAAAAAGGAATACGAATACTGAAAAGTATCTTTTTAATCGTACTATCTGAATATTAAATTTTAATAGTACAAGTTTGCATAAAAGTACAAATTCGACGAAAAAGCCTTATGAATTCTCTCAAATCCCCGAATAAAATCATTATACAAAATCGGCATTTAAACATCATGAGATTTTTAAACATAATTTTGCGCAACAGCTATACGTATAAGAGAAATTAACGTTTCCTTTCTACATTCTTTCTACAAAAATTTGCTCAACTCGTACAATATACATACATATCGATGCAAATTAATTGGAACATTTATTATTCTTATTCGAAAATAAGAATCGGCGCGAAGTAATTCAAGGAAGATTCATCGTCAACCGGCAATGAGCTCAATTATTTTGTACGCTGACGACTCTACGTTTTTCATTAGGAATATATTCTTTTAATACTGCCGAGGACGAATATAATTACATCCCTGGGAGCCACTTCGCTATGGATTGCTACTTCCGCCGTGTAAATGAGCTTTTATCCCCCGCGAAACGTAATTCCACCTTAATCCGTATCTCACTCACGTTTGAATATCATAAACGCGAACGTAATAAGTTCTTTTGTCGATGTCTTGTATTAGGTTCGCATCAGAAAGTAGTTTTGAATTTAAACCGACATCCTAAACGTTTTGCTGATCTTCTCATTTCGAATGTAGCACACGGCAAACGCATAAACTTAATGCGCGCATCGGTTGGTTTAGTTCTCATGCTCTACGAGGTTTCGCTAATCTTCACCATGATACCCGCATCACACGAACCAAGCAATTAACTGGCTGAATATGTAGATCCGTTTACTTTGAGATGAAACCGTGTTGTAAGAATAAATCCCAGTTGCATATTTAGGGCAAACGCATACACATTCTTAAACAAAAGAAAATCATTTTACTTTCATCTTCATTCTGTATATGTTGGAAGAACCGTGCAAAATTTTTAAGAGAATATAAAAAATAACATCATTCTTGTTTAGCCGACTAATCTACGAATACTCGTACGTTCACCGACAAAATGGCATTTGTCGTCTGCTTCAGGCATCTCTTAAGCGAACCAAGTTTCATGCTTCCGCGAGCGGAAAAGGAAGCGCATAAAATTTAATTCTATCCCCTAGGTTAAACGTAGTCCCTCTCGAAAATTAGATTTTTTAATGAAAGTTCATTCGCTCTTGAACCCTTAATCCTTAGTAGCCAAGGATTAAATTCCTGTCTGGCACGAGCTAGAGCTAGTCGCCTTTCGAGACCTTCGAAACAATTTACGATATGAAAGGCAATAACGTCGGCGAGGGTATATGTTTTATGTACCGATATCACAAATTGTCGCCAAATCGAATAACAATTACATTTATACCAGGTGAAGTAATTAACGTTCAATTCGCCGTGTAATATAACGATAATTGCGTGCAATTCATTGAAAGAGCTGCACATTAAAAATTGATATCAGGCCACAATTCTGAATTCCATTTCATGTGCCCGCCACTAATGCACCGAAATTCGTAATACACCAGGACAAGAGATCATCGTTCAAATGAACACATTTCGTTCTATTAAATTTTTAATCAGATGATAATAAATTAAATTCAGTGTGTCATAGTGATATAATATAATTATGGTTCGGATACTTCATCATTTATGTTTTGGATAGCATATCAGTATACAAGTATTTGCATTTGAAAATTCATCATATATATTTCGATCGTTTCGCAATGAAGAACCACTATTGGAAAGGAAATAATTTTACTAACGACTGCTTGGTGTCAAATACTAAATCATCCTATTGCCGGAAAAGCAATTTAGATGAGGTACAATATTTTGAAGTCCTCGAGGAAACACGAAAATCCCATTTCGACGGCAATGAGCTCGCTCAATGGGTCGATCATTAACGAATAAATTGCGAATGACGTATTGCCAGTAAACTAATTCCAGCGTTCATCTGTTTATGACTCCCAAAACAATGACTCGTGCCGGGCTCAACTAAATGGCGCTTTTTCCGTATTTCTCTCTTTTTTGTTTCTTTCTTTACATTTTGACGTCTGCTCTTGAAACCTATGCACACGTAACCTTGACGATCGAACAATCGTAAAATTTCTACTTATTGCAATTTCTTACTCTCGCTTTTACGGCGTGACAGTCGGATTACGAAGGTGCTGTCGAGTGTCGTAAAACCAGCAATAATCGTAATTTACGTCTGTTCCATAACTCGTGATTTACGGGACTTAAGGATTTTCATACACATTCTACAAATAGGTATCGGTACAACCGGTTAGGATCACGCGCGTGCCCGGTCTTGAATATAATAATGGTAGAATCCCATTTTATGGCGACGAAGAATATCCACGTATAAAACATGAAATCTTCTTATAACTTAACTTATAATCTTATTATAACTTAATCAACGTACTTTCACAGACATTGCTATATACCAGGGGTAATGGCAAATACTGGCACATATTTCATCCTCGAAGCAAGATTAAATTATTACGACATTTTTTTCGAGTTATTCGGAGGATGAAGGATGTTGCGTCTTGTCTTGTTCTCGTATGGTCGCACGCATCGTTTCGAGACACTCTATCAATTCATTACTCTGTAGCGACTTGCGTACACGGAATTTCGGTGAATCCCAGGAGCACCTTCGCGTGCTCATCGATCATGTTTGCGACTGAACTCAGACCGCGGAACACTGAAAAACGAAGCACCTTAACGACTCCGTACGTTTCATGCCGTGGCAGCCATACAGAAACACAATTACGGAGTTTTCACTGCGGAAGCTTCCGCGAGACAGCCCGGCAAGACGTTGAATTTCTTGCCGGGTACGCTCGTCTTTTGCAGCCTTCCGGTTTTTCTCTCAACTGTGGCTTGACGATCTGTAGCTGAAACAACGCGGCTGAGAAACGGGATGTATGTGGTTTGTCCGGCAGGTAAAACTAACGAGTGCGTCTTCGAAACTTTTAAAAGCTATTTTACGTCAGGACCGTTTTCAGACAGTTCCATCGTATTGTTCGGTTCGTAGTTGAACCAGTTTTTACCCGGTCGTTTAGCTCTCACCAATCGTAATACTCGACCTGCAGAAAACGCGAGTGGCTTCGTTCTTCCACGTTATAATGCAAAACACTGGCAGGAAATAAGTATAAGGATTCGGTGTAGTTATTTGGCTGCCTCCATGGTTGTGCCACGACGTTGAGGCGCGGAACATACACACAGAGGCTCGGCTGGTACAATGTGAAAGCGTAATTACTACGATAGCCAGCTCAACGAAGATGAACACGTTCACCTCCACCTGCATGGCGGTAATGCCTTCTCTTCCCTGCCCAGTCGGCCTCGCGTCGTGTCCTACTCGATGTCTCTTTCTCTATTCTTCTCCGAGCTGTCCTTTCATCAACATTTCGCCGTTCGACCTGTACGACTCGTCAAGGGTGAGGAACACTGCGAGTTTCATGCATGTACACCGCTATACCAAAGGGTAGTGGTGAACGCGAACATCTTTGTCTTCGCCTTCTGCTGACCCTTCTTCGTCACGACTCTTGTCTCTGTCCATTAGAACCCACCAACACGTTTTTTCCCTCATCGTTCTATCGTTGTTTTAACGCCGTATA